GACCGCGCAAAACGTTCCCACGGCAAGTTCCACTGATTTTGTCGGGGTAGACGGCTACTATAAAGTCTCCTGATAGATTGGAATGTGCTCCATTTTTTGATGGGAGCGCTCAGTTCGAATTCAGCAGTGTGATTAGTGACATTTGAACGTGGAGTGAAGTGTCACTTGTAGAAAATCGCCCCTCACAATACATATGATCGCAGGCAAGCAGCTCTATGTACCTAGTACGCTTTCTTCGCACGTCTGAAGGTAAATATCCTGATCACTGGAGCTCAGGACAAAACAAGAGCAAGCATCAAAATATTATCTTCATCAGAACACGCAACTCTATACAGACTTTGTTCACTCCCATAGCGAAATAAGCAACATTCACAAGAAAAATTAGAATTTTTGTACGATTTACATATTTACAAACAAGTACATCTGTAATTAAAAGCTGTCTTCAGAAGAAGATGAGACGAAAGAAAAGCTAAAAAGCCAAACTCGACCACTATCACATGCACGAATTGCTGAGAACAAACACTGAAACGAAGAAACAAGAGCACGAGAAACATCTACGTGTGTGTATGTGATCGAACGGTAGCGAATCAGAGTGCGTAGTGGTGGGCGGGACCCGCACAGGAGGGGCGGAGCTTCTCAAGGGATGAGAAAGTGCGACGACGACGACGGCGACAATGGCGGCACGTATTTACTCGCTTGGACTTCGAGGAGATGATGAAACACCACTGCTTGACGTTTCATTCTGAAGTGAAAAGTGATATTTTCGGAGAAGGAATCATTTAAAGTTAGAAAAACCAAAAGAAGGTTATATTGGGTTGACTCAGATTCAGCCTACCAAGGACGTGTTCAATGGAAAGTCGTGGTGGAGGTGGAGCATGCGAAACGGAAGCGGTCGCGACGCGGTTTTCGTGGGAGTTTGTGATGAGCAGCCAGCAGAACTTATTCCATTTGAAAGTGATCGGAAACCCCAAACCAATAGTTAGTTCCTCACGCGAGCTCCTGCCCTCCAGCTAGTTTGCGCTACGCGACCGCAACCGGCGCAAACATGGAAATTCGACATAAGTGTCAAATTCGGCTTAGTTAAGTGACGCAACGCGACCGCGCGCGGAAGTGGCTGTGACGCCACATGCTCAAATTAAGCTTTTTAGTGAAATTTATACAAAAGCTACTTACTAGGCTGTCATCGGCTCTCTCCATAGTTTTCATACGAAGCACAACAAATCGAATTGGTGAGCCATTAGAATCGCTGATCAGTTTCGTCAGCATCAACGCGGATTTGAACTGTTCTCCGGGACAATCGTTGATTTCGAGAAGGCTGAAAATTAGAGGCTTGGGAAAGGGAAGAAAGGATCCGAAAGGATCAGAAGTACTCACCAGTCGTTCTCCCGCAATGGCAGATTCACGCCGTTCACTTTAGTGATCTGAAGGCAACCGAGACGACCGTGAGTGACGATGATATCGCGCGTCGTCAATGGGGTCTCGACGGCCAACACCTGTGGAAGGCGAAATCGATGAGCACGAGATCGTTCGAACTCGGTGGAATAAGGAACTACCGTATACCTGGTCGTATGTGCTCTGCTTGACTATATCAAACAGTGCCCGATGCCCATTTCTTTTCTCTTCTTTTGCTTCTTCAGGACCACGTTCCCTGATGGCGGTCAGTTCTTTCAAAATCTTTTCGCGAATCGACGCACTTGTAACTCCCAATTGAGCTGAAGACAATAAAGATCAGGATGAGCGCGAAAACTCGTCTATCCAAGTACGAGTTGCGCAACTTACATAGACATTCGTGATCCCATGAAAGAAGATCGGTCCCCCTCAGGTCATAACCGATCAGAAGCGAGGCGACATCATCCAAACTGCATGCTTGCAGCCAGAGCAGGACATCATCGAGAGCCCAGTCCTGAAAGCGAGTAGATTGAAAAATGTGTAGCCTTTTCAGAGAAGATTCGATTATCTGGACTGTGTAGCACTTGTGGAACATTCGTGGGGAATACCGACGTCTTATGAT